ATATATATGCATATAGTATATATATCTTTATGTGTGCATCCGCTTTTTCAATTAAAACTTACCTAATGGACCAAGCCTGTAGGCAATTGTGACTAGAATGACATCCTTCATCATCAAATAATCTGGGCCATGTAGATCACGTGTCGGATCGCCTTTTTCAAAGCCACCACCGTAAAGAAAGACCATGACAGGCAGCGGATTCTCTGATTTTAGCTGTTTAAATATAAAGAAGTATAGCGTTTTTAGAAAAGCCCTTGGAATACTAGTATTGCTCATCAGCTTTTTCTAAGCACACCAAGTGTAAAATCGCAAAAGTTATTTTCAAAGTACTAGATTTTCGTTACTATAAAAGAGAGTCACTATATAAAATTACGTTCAAAAGTGACCCTAGTTCCCAAAACAAAGAAATCATTACTGGAAAGAAATTAGGCGAGAATGACAAGGGCAGTCCACGAGACTGAAGCGTATTTTAAAGCACAAAACCAATCTTACTTCAAACACGGTATTAAAAGGTTGGAAAATCGCTTTAATAATTCGCAGAGAGTTTCGGAAAAGAGAATTCGTAGGGTTCTGAAGCAGATGATATGCATGGATCTTAAATCCATTCATCGTAGAAATAATTCTGAAAGGTATAATATATCTGGTTTGTGTTTTGAAATATACGTCATAATCTGGAGCGATTATGAATTTAATGATAAATCATATGTCTGTTTCTACACCACCTCTCTCTCTTTATCACACAAGTCCAGTAATATCAGTCCAGTTGTATCAGTCTCTTGATAACCATTTGTGGATATACGTTTGACATATTTTCGTGAAGTTTTCATAATGTTAAACCGTAAGTAGAAGACATAAAAAATGGGCAATATTTAAACCCTGTAAATATCATCATTTCTGTTACATTTTCATCGCGTATAATAATTTCAAGATCTTTGTTTTCAATTAAGTGGAGTTACAAGTATGTTAGTTCGAAATTGAAATTTTAAGTTTCAATAACACTCCAACCAACAACCTTATCAACTACTTACCTTCTTCGCATATATATTCAGATACAAACAGTCCTCGTCGCCTTCGATTTCATTTGTACGGCCATTTTTCTGCAATGGTTTTTCGGCTTTTTGCGTACAATCCAACACACCTTGCCACGGTGTCGCGGCTACAGGCGCCTTAAAACGTAGTGGACCCAGTGGGGGCTGTGCAAAGGGTATGCGCTCAAAGCTGTTGTAGTTGTCATCATAAATGGATCTATTGCATTTACCTTTGACGGTGCCAAGCGTTGTTTCCACCAGCACTTCTGCATTTGCTGAGCTAATTTTGATGTACGAAACATGTATAAAAATATTATAACAATTAGATTTTGCTACGAAAATAAAACACTTTGCCACTTCACATACTTGCCCGTCATAACTGCCCCGATAATAAAGGAAAAATTCCCCTTTGACGAAGTAAATTATTTTAATTGAGTACCTTTTGATATATATTTATTTCTACACGTAATTATTATCTGCTACGCTTACATATACATATACATACATATATATATAATACTATTCAAACGCTTTACAACTTTTGTTTTGTTTCTCACTTTTATTTTATTATTGTTATCTAATTACAGTGTCGTTGCAGGCGACCAATTGACTTGACTGATATGAAACCGCACGCTATGGGGCACAAGTAGGAACTGTCGGTCTATAGAATTCAAACACCCATTGCACACTTATGGCTACTAGATTTTGAGGCAGTCGGGTAAGCAAGTGCATATGTGCATACACGCAGCTGAAATATTTGAGCATGTTTATTAGAATTTTATTTTTGTTTTGCTCTCTCTTTCAGCTATAGCAACTGTTGAGCTGATGTTAGGAGAGTTGCGTGCTCGTGAATATATACTAATGAAATAAGCATTGAGGCGTTTTTTTTTAGTATTTTTTAATATTTTATTTCCACTTCTCTGACTTGCGTTCCGTGCTTAGATATTTAAAAGAATAATCATCAAAGCAAAAGCCACTTTGCCAACGTAAACAAACGCACGATCAGTTGGTGAGACATAATATAACGCGTTAGAGAGCAAAATATCATAGGTTAGAAAGTGAGTTTGGATGATGAGCATTTTCCTTTAGTTTACTCTTTCGTCGCATTTTTGCAAGATAAGCGAGCGAGAGACAGAGAGAGAGAGAGAGAGAGAGAGAGAGTCAGGTGAGTGCATGCTAGCAGGTATTCTGAAGAGTTCAATTAACCTGTTGCACTTTTAAACATTTGCTTTTATTTACTCCTTCATTGCACTCACTTTGAAACGCGCTCTCAATAACGGTTTGTAAGGCGTGCTCAGCGTTTACTTACTTGTTCTGCGAGATGCACTAAATTTATTTTTAGCAGGTCAATGAACTCCGCTGTATCAAGCAATCTTGCCACGTTGTGAGAAAGAAATGTTTATTCGGGATCTGCCTCAAATAATACCGCATCCAATATCACAACCAATTTTGATCACAAATATCTGTATTAAAGACAGTTTGAGATTTATTTAGGGTAAAGGCTTTATAATTTATACTAGAAAAGTGTTTATTTCGTATTTTTTCAAATAAAAATCTTACAATTATTTTACAAAACTTCTAACGATGTAGAAAATTAGTGTTATTAAATATCTTTAACTAAAATATGATGTGTTGTTGTTTAAAAAATTGTATTCGAGTTTTTTTCCTAAACCAATTCCCTTAGTTGAGCATTCTGATTTATAAAAATTTGCTGATTAAACTCACACTAAAAATTTTTTTTTTTATAGTAAGAAAATATAGTTCCTAAAGACTTTTAACATTTTGTTGTTACCTTGCCTAAATATTGAAAAGGACTGCTTAAATAGGTGTCGGAATCGATTTTGTTTTATAACTCAAAGTATAATATTTCAAAACCAACTAATTGTAAACAAAAACTATAAAAACTATCAGATCATTAAACTCTTAACCACAAAAACCCGTTACACGTTGAAACAACAAGTATTCATTACAAATTAAAATGTTAAGGCATCAAAAGCTTAATATCTTTACTGTTATAAAACATCAACAACTAAAATAAATTCTCTTTCGTAAAAAGACTTATCCAGGTTTTCAGATGTTTGTGCGGTAAGTATTTCATTTCTAGGTCTTCGTCTATGTTAAGGCATTTCGGCTGCGCATTTTGCACATCTTCCGCTTCGACTGGTTGCCATTGAGTCGGTTCGATTTCAGTACAGTTTGGATTACCTGTCGCGGCAAATGCCGTCCACATGCCAACCATGCGTTGAATTGTTTTGAATTCACCACATGTGGGTGGTAATTTTTCGGAGCTCGCATTGTAGAACATATAAGAGAGATCATCGGCATGACACACTCCACGAGCGGAGCGCCCGCAGTGCAGAGTGCGAGCGTGATTTTGATGCGGTGAATCGAAAGCAAAGCGATAAAGATAAGTCGGCACATTAGACGCGTAGGCGGCACGTGCTAAGAGTGTACGTTGTACGTCAACGAGAAAGTGTCTGTAAGTTAAGAGCTGTAAGCAGTACAAACACAAGTATATTATATCATTGAAATGTTAAATAAATTGCTGCTTCATATATTACCTCCAGGTATTGATACAGATGTTTACTACAATTCGGTTCCGCATTACCAAAATGTGCTTCCCTTAGACGTAGACCCAGTTCTGTGCAGCTCTGCATATCACAATCTTTTTTCACAATTTTCGGCAAAACTGCCACACAATCTCCGAGGTCATTAACTAAATGCGGATTTTTTACAGTTTCATTATAATGCAACATGCCTTCGTCGGCTGTGAAACCCAACAGTATTGGGATTTCATTGCTCCATGTCGTTATGAGTAGATCTTTAAATGGTTTTGTCAACAAACTATTCTCGCTTTCGTACGGTTCTACCACTGGTGTGAAAGAGAAAAATACACGTTCATCATACTCATGTGGCTGCCTGAACTCTTTATAAAATTGTATTAGTTTCGAACCGCTAACATTTGACAGGAAGGAGAGTACGTCTTTATCTATATTTTCACCACTGTAGCCTAATTCGACGGCCAGAAAGTAGGCGCGATTTTTGGGTTCCTGTTCGGTCCAAGGGCAAAGCGCTGTACCTGATTGCAATATCGCCTTATGGAAGAGGCCCTGTGCTTTCGGCGTAAGCATAAGCAGATGTGTAGCAGCGGCACCAGCACTCTCTCCGAATACTGTCACATTGTTGGGATCACCATTGAAGTTGGCGATGTTCTCTTCAATCCAACGTAATGCGAATAATTGATCTTTCAGGCCTGCATTACCAGGAACTTGTACATCAGGATCCGCTAGCGACAGGAAGCCTAAAACACTTGTTTTATAAATTTATTGAAAATTATATCGAGGTAAAAACATACTAACCTAAAGCACCCAGCCTATAGTTAAAAGTCACTAAGACGATTTCTCTCTCCATGAAATAATCGGGTGCATAAACATCACGTGTAGCTTCACCAAAACGAAAGCCACCACCATAGATCCAAACCATTACCGGTAGTGGCTTAGCAGATTTTAGCTGCAACGATTTAATAGCGCATAATACATATAAATAACTCCCATGGAATTAAATGAATCTATATACTCAAATTTTATATAATGATCGATGGGTCTCTCACCTCTTTAGCGTATACATTTAAATATAAACAGTCCTCAGAGCCGTGAGTGATGCCCAGCACGAAGTGTTTTTGCAGTGGCACATTTCCCAACTTGGTGCAGTTACGCACTCCCGTCCACGGATCGGGTGGTTGTGGCGCCCGAAAGCGCAGTTCACCGAGTGGCGGTTTAGCGTATGGTATGCCTTCGAAGGCATAAAAATGGTGGTTGTAGACGGTTTTCCGTTTAACACCTTTAACTTGTCCGTACTTTGTGGGTATAATAGTTGTTTCACTGGTTGTTGCCTGATATTGTTGTATGCGATGGGCCACCAGTCTGTGAAATTTTTTATCAATAATTATTATGAAATTTAATTTAGTTTTATTTTGATTTTATTGTATTTGAGGAGCAATTGCCTATGAAGGCTACAAATAGACCGTCCCTCGTTACCACACGAGAATACATTTTTTATTAATAGAAGTCAAAAGCGATTTCTCTCCAGATGACACATTTACACATTTTTAATTATTTTTTCATATCCGGAGTTTTGTCAATACATAGCCTAATATTATAGTTATTAGAGAGTTTCCAGGTTTGTACCCAGATTTTTTTTTTCAAGTTTGATTTATTGTTATTTACCAAAAGAAGAACGTAGATATGTAAGAAAAGCATCGTTAGTAACTTTGAAGCAAACCTTTTTCTTGCTCTTGAGTTAGCTAAGATTTTTTGCACATATTGAATAACGATCTAACAACTTGTATAATCCTCTCAAATATTTTTGGAACGGAACTTTGCGTTAAATTACATTACAAAAAAGGCTGCAGAGACGGACAGAATAACGAAATTGCAGGGTTCTGACTTATTTCTGAGTCACTTTTTACTGAATATTTAAATGAGAGTCAAATATTCAATAATAATATAATGTACACTTTCAGTTGTAATATGTAGAGTGCCTGCTATTTCGAACAGCTTCGTGATCGTGAACATCCAAAATTATTTTGCACACTTTTTTGCTTTTTTCGTCGATAACAACCTCTTTTGGGCGTCCACTGCGTTCACCGTCTTGATGGTTGATTTTCCTGGAGCGGTGCCCGGAAACTCGTTGTCAAGCGAAGTTTTTTCTTCAATTCTACTTTTTCCCTTCAATAAGCAATATTTTATCAACACACGAAATAATATTTTTTTTTTTCAAAATAACTCAATCATTATATTATATACTATAATTCAGAAATTAAAGATCCAACAGCTATCAAATTTATACACGCGCCTTTTCGAGGTTAGTACTAACTAAAAGTCATACGAATTTCAGCCTAGTAGCGCCTTCTATGCGTCTGAGGACTTTTCAGTTCACTTCTAATGTGGAAGCAACAACGAAGTCCTCCTCACAAGTGAATGTATGTGTATCTGCATTAAATTGTCGCATTCCATTGGATCTATACATGTTTCATTTTGTTTCGCCACTGAAATTGCTGAATAATTTCCGGTTGCAGTTTACTATAAACTAGCCGTTTTCTGTACGGTATATATATTCCGTATTTTTTCGAAAAAAAAACCACACAAACATATATGTATGTATGTACGTCGAGCCAGAAAGCACGAGCAACTAGTTGTCTACGTTGAAAGTGAAATCGATTGCACGTTGTAATTTACGTCAATATTTATATTTTGATTGCACGCTCAAGACTCTTAATACATTTTTATGAGCAGTTTGTTTCTTTACACGAGCTTAATAGTTAGAACTAAGTCGTTCACCTAGTTGCTGTAGGAAATGCTGCAAATATGGGAGAATGTTTTCAAGTACGTTAATTGACTAGAACAAGTAGTTTTGCAATTTTATGGAATTTTGTATTTTTTTTGCTTATTTCAGCAACAAGTTGATATTTCATAATTTTTTTTTTTTTTTACATATTTGGGCTTTATTTGTCACCTTCTAACGTATTTAATTTTTGAAGTTATTCTAGAATAATTTTTTGGCTCTTTACGGAATTATAAATTATACAAGTTCGTTTGGCAGATTATTTATTTATCACATACTTCACGGCCATTTGCAACAAATTGGTAAGAGGCACGTTGATATCGACCATTTTCACGACACTGATAAATATAGATCAGTTATCAAAACACATGTGTCAAATGGAAGAAAATAGAACTTTACTTTACATTGAGTTCGACGTAAACTACTATTGAGAAAAATTGTTCGTCATTAGTGAAACGTCGAGCGCGAACTGACTTAGTATTCTAGTATATGAAAGTTGTCGCTTAGCTGCGTTCTTATCGGCATATAAATATGTAAGTATATTTGAGCAAACGATTATATTAAAAATGTACATATATACATATGTATGTATGTGTTTATGGGCACTTGGATTAACAGCCAATAGCTTTGTTTATCAAGTGTAATTGCACTATGAACTTAGATGTGTGTGTGTGCATATTAATGTGTGCATTTAAACTTTTTGAATTCTTCTATCGGCTTGCTTATTTTATTCGCCATATATGAATTCGCTATTGTAGTATCTCACGCAAATATATATAATGCAAATATAGACACTAAAAGTGAAATTAATTAAGTTTGCAATGAAGCTTTTATTCAAAGTGGCTTTTTCAAATCACCAAATGCATATTTATATGGGCAGTTTTCTGGAAAGGTTCAACAGTTATTACTAGGTATAATCAAGATACGAAAGCTGTCAGAATAGTAAACCTTTTGTCTGGGGAGTATTGGGAGTTGAATGCAATGGCAAAGGAAGTAAAATTATAAAGCAACCATATTGGCTCGCCGATCTATGTCGACATTATTTCAGCTTTAATACAGGAACACCAGTGAAAACGTTCGATTATTATTTTTTTCTCAGCAGTAAGCTGATACATGTGTCTCTAAACGATTCAATCACAATTAAGTAAACCTATGAAAATACGAAAGTAAGACTATTATTTGCAACGCAATTTAAAAACGTTTCAATGAAAGATTGAGACAAGTATTGATCAATACAACAAATTAGCAAGCGTTAATAATAATTGTTTTTTATTACCTGAGCAAACGCTTTGTAATTGAAGGCAGCGAGAAAACAAATAGTTTTAATGCAATTTCGCAGTGTTTTTTTAATGCGACGTTGAAGCAGCTTTCTTCTCTTTTTTCCACCAGCCAATTTTTTTTTATCAATAGCTTGTTCGGTATTTGAAAATTGTCAGCTTCTTCGTTGCGAGTTAATCGTATTGTTGTGTGCGGCATAAAGGTGTTCAAATCTCATCATACGGAACAAAAGTTATAAGCATAAATTCCACCAATAATATAAGCCTGGAGATTAAGCGCAGTATAACTTTTGCCAATAGGTTCCACGTTCGGATGGGTAGGTAATTGAGAAGCAGATGCGTCTCTGGACGAACAAAATGATGGTCTATAATTCTGCCATTATTCTTGTATTATTATACAGCGCACAAACATGAACGGTGGCAATCGGGGATGAGAAACCACTACTTGCACGCGAGAGAACTGTTCTTCCGCAGATGGAACCACGAATTGTATGAACTACACGGCAAAGTTCAGCGGCTAAAAATTCAACGAATGTGTTGGTTAGGCCATGCCATTCGCAAAGCTCTTTCGACTAGAGACCCACGGATGGACAAGGGCGCTCCCGAATCCAACGGAAAGACCAAATGCTTCTTGTCTGCACTTGGGATGAAGTTTTACATCCGATGACCGACCTCACAAAGGATAGAGGCAACTGGCAAAGTTTTGTATTGTTGGCCCTGACCGACCCACGTCTCCCAGCGTCAAAGAAGAAGCCAAAATAAGATTACTGCAATATCATTATTTAATTTTCCAATAAATTCTGCTGTATAATATACAGGATATTCAGAAAAAAGGCATCAAAATGCTGAGACGTTGCCAAATTGCACGCGTGAGTTAACCACACGATGCACCGTGTGTGGTGAGATGCCACCCAAACTCATGTGAGCACAAAGGAAGTGTTAAAGTATTACTGAAAGCGTGCATAATATGTTTGAGCTCTTTTCGTATGTATGTGTGTGCCTGTTTGTTATAAATCGTTTACTTTACTGCTCATCGATGCATTTGACACGTATACCGCAACTGTTTTTACCACTGTTACACGCACACACATACATATGCATTTGCAAGTTTATCGAAAAAATTTCAGTTGCAGCACAGAATTTATGGCGAAGAAGGGGACAGTGAAGCCAAAGTGCAGTCTAAAACATTCCCTTTGGTATTGTCATATTTTCTTCGTGATTGCTGTTGCCGAAATTTTCTATTTTCCAAAGTGCCAGCTTTTACAATTCAGCGTGCCAATTTTGTAACGCTCACCACTTTTCACGCCAGTTTCGAGTGTGTATCTGCGTGTGCTTGAAAAAGGGTTCAAGCCAGTAGCTCTGCTGGAGTCGCTGCCATTTGGAATGGATTATATTCAATAATCCATGTTTTCACCAATTTTTGCAAAGCACAGTTTATGATATAGTGATTATCGGAGGTCACGGGGGTCACTTTATTCCTTGTTGATTTAGTGCATTTTTTATTTTTCAAAAATGTTTTTACTTGAAAAAAAAAACACAGGAACTTAAAGATTTCGCTTGAATCAATATTATGTCTAGAAATAAGTGGTACCAAAAATGGTGTTATTCGTCCAACAGACAGCGGCGGCTGGCCGCGCATTTACAGCGTTTCAACGCGTGCGTCCTTCATTATAATTTAATAAGCTCCCTCGTGGCGAAAGATTTTGTTTGCCATGAGCTTGCCGTTGAGAATTAGATGTTGGGGATTTTGGTTTTCTATTGCAGTTTTCGGCTGTTTGCGGTCGACCACTCAACTCACGAAAGTGTTGAATTACAGCAGCGGGAAGTGCGCGCCGCTTGTCTACAATGTCGCTGAGAATATAAGTGCGTCAATGCCAGCGCCGTCTTTAGGGGTTGAACTGTCTGATACACAGATGTATTTATAGTAGGGATAAGCTAAGTATTTGCCTGGGCTGATGAAATGCGCCACATGCTGACTCAAATTTCTAGCATTGGCGTAATAAAATAAACGCTTATTTAATTTCTCACTTATTTGAATTTTTGTGGTATTTTACTTTGATTTGGTCCCACTCATTTTTTATGTTGAGCAAATACGCCTGAAATAAAACGGTCAACAAGTGTAATTAATCCTGGGTTTATTTGACTTTTGCAAACGCTTAAATCACACTTTTTAATTACTTTTTGCTTAGCACCGATTGGCATTTGGCCCGTGAGCATTTTCGGTGAATTCTAGCAGCGAAATTTAATTTACTTTCGGACTCATTCTCATTACTTTAATGTTGAAATTTAAAGTACGAAGTTGCACTTGTTTTGCTTGTACAATGCGAACTTTTGTTCATTGAATAAAATCGTCAGATACTTCGTCTTTTCAAAAGTGAATTTTTACTCTCTCTCCTAATTGGGGAATAATTTAATTTCGGCAGATTTGCTCCAGCAAAACTCCTGCCAAGTGTTGGCACAATAAATGCCGAAATCGACAATCGATTGCAGTGCCATTAAACGAATTTCATTTTCAAGCAAGCATAAATATGAAATTACAACAAAAGTAACTTAAAAGTTAATAAAAGTTGGAGAACTTCGCACAATTTGGCACCGACATGAAATCAACAATTTGGGCAATATGAATTTTGCGCATATGAACATACATATATGTATACATTCTTTCTGGTCTATAAGTATACAAATGTACATGCACGCCGTATTTTTTTTTTTTTTATACTTCTAAGCCAAGATTAGCGAAGCGATTGTAAAGTTGCAAATATGCTGAAAACTATATTTTCAAGCAAAGCCAACCGGTTATATTTTCTGCTCGTTTTGAGACATAAAATTATAAAAATAGATCACGCTGTTCAAAAGGTGTTAATTTCAAAAATGTTTAGTCTCTACTCATCATCAGCGACAAGGCGTACTTTCAGAATTCAACCAGCTTTGCTGTTTTACCTCTAATAAAATGTCAAACGAACGTCTACGATTTCGAAAGATACCTACATTTTTTTCCGTTTCCTAGAAAGAACTTATTAACCATCGAAGACGAGTTAGTTGTGTTCTAGAACTACACATATATTTGTTAGAAATCATACCCCTTAGTAATTACCGAAGGCTAAATCAGTGTTTATTATTACTCACCAGAGTATAAATACATCGGCCAAGTAAGTCTAATGCACTACAAAGGTCCGAGTATGTTAATTTATTTTACTCCCGTTACACACATGCGTATATGCACATACCTATATGCATCGCTGCAAGTGCGTAACAGTAAATAAGTGCGGTAATTTAAAAGGGCACGCACAAAATTTAAGACTTTATTATAATCAGTTACTCTTTTATTGCCGCAGAACTTTCTTTTGAGCATTGTCGATTCCTTTTTCACAGGCTATAAAATCATGTAAACATTTCTCCTATGCGCTGTTGATTTTTTTGTTCCCTGTAGTGCTTCTTTATGGCTTTTTACGGTAAAGTGCTTTAGTTGAAAAGTAAGTCAATTTGTAAAGGACAGTAAAGAATCGAAAGTGGCATGCAACGAAAAAAAGAAATGTTACTAAACAGACGAGACTGTGTTGCAAACGGCAAAAGGCCGGCAAAAATAAAGTGGCTTTTTTGGATTTTTAGTGTGAGTTGTTGCCCAAGCAGTAAAAAGTTGAGTAAATACCTGAAGTATTTATTGTTGTTGTGCCTATTGGCTGGCCTTTATGCTTAAACGCATGACCCTGTGACAGACTGGCTATTCATAAATAACTGTATGTATGTTGGTGGCTTATATGTAAAAATAGTGTTCACTTTATTGTGTGCGTAATTGATAGAATTTTCTCTGAAAAGTAAGGTGCGTACATTCTATGATAGCCGATTTTTATCACACGTTATATATAGCACATTAGAAACCCCAGGCGATAATATCTGGAGGTGGCGTTTCAGTTTGCGTGATGACTGGGAGTGAATGGTTGATTCTCTATTAAAGGTTCGTGTAAAATGCAGCAATGATCATCAGAAGAGATTTTTTAATATCGATGGTATTCTTGGTAAATAGTGATGCCACACACAAATCATTTTACTTTTCTTTTTCAGTCCAAAAAATTGCTCGTAAATTAACTATATATTCTATGGGATTTGACGCCCCCGTTTACGGGGCACATCAAAATATTCTATACTGATAAACTAGTAAGGATCAAAACCTCAAAAAACTGCTGGAACAGGTGTAAATTTGATACAGGTTAGTCTTCATAAGACCCA